AAAAAAAAAAAAAAATGCTTGCCATGCCTTGTTGGAAGAAATGAGTGTCATAGCAATAAGAAAACTGTACCTTCCAGACAAATAGGGTTCGAGCAACAAACAGGTAGAGGGGGAAAACATTTAAAATGGTCAGTGTCTGATATCTTAGTATTACAAAATCAGCACTAATGCAAGATAGAAGGTATGCGATGCCCTTTGATATATACTTAGTGAAACCTAGAATTCTAGGCTGGATAATTCATTATTTCCAGTAGATACAAAAAAAATGTATCAAGCCGACATGAAGATGACATTTTTTTTTATAATACAGCACAACAAGAATGGCATTTTTGGTATTAACTATTGGCTTATAAACAAAGTTATGAGACTTCAGAAAATCTTTAAATGCGATGAAACTGTAGCAGAACAAGTTACAAAAGAGATCTGGGAATGACAGAAGTAAAAAAATAAATTTACAGACAAATCATGAACAAATAATTGATTTTTGTGAGTGAATAGATAAGGTAACAGACACTAAAGTTGTTTTGGGTCAAGGAAATTCTCACAGTAGTTCTTTGTTCATCCTGGCTAGCAAATAATTTATATTAAAGAACAATACTAAGAATATATTTAAGAAAAAGATATTCATAATTTTCAAGGTATCCTTTATATTGTGGAAAATATTTCTTGCATACATTATTTGATTAAAATCAAAATGAGAAACAATTGAGGTAATGTCAGATTTTACTTTCGAACCATCACCACCAAATCAATAATATGTCTTGCTATCCTTAATTGATGGATTACTCAATATTTTTGATTTGGCCTTTGTTATTCGTTTTTTTATACTAACTGTATAAGCAAAGTATTTGCAATAGCAAAAAACATATTTGATGATAGCCTCTGAATATTTGCCATATTTGTTAATTGAAGTATGAGCATAAAGTTCAAACCTTTCTCATCAGTTCCACGTTAAGAAAATGGGAGAAATTTGTATAGTGGCTAAGGTACATGGACTCAATTCTAAATGAAAAAAATTTTAAGCTTTGTAGACATCTTCCAACTTTTCTTCTCAATGAGTTATGCATTACTTTAATTTTTCCGGTCTCAAAGAAGAAGAAAAAAAAAAAAAAAAAAAGGGTTAAGATTTTTTGGCAACTACATAATCTCCATTAGTTTTATCAACTTTTAACAATTGCTTTTTCACTATTTGACATTGTCATCTTCTATTGAATTTGGCTTCATCAATACACAGTGTGCACAGAAGCTTTTTAAAAGCTGAGGATTGAAGAGACATCTTTAACAGATATATTCTAGATATATTTTAGGTTAATCAGTAGCGAACTTGCAAGCATTTGGGTTGACATGAAATGAAAGAAAAAAGAAATTAGTGGATATAAGATTAAAATTAATCAAATTTGTATATCTGAGCCATTTTTTCCCCTATTTGTCAGGAAGGTATTAGTTTATGTACCAGTACACAACTTACCGAAACCAATATAAATGTTTTTTTTTTAAATTTTTTTTTTTTTTTTTTGTAAATCCTTGGAATGAGCCAGCATCATATACAACAACAAAGTTACACAAGGAAGCACTAGGAATGTAATCAAAACTAGGCTAGTCTCAAAATTGTACTAACAGATTGTAGCAGAGAGTTTCATACTTTACCAAGTTCAGCTGTACAGAAGGAGGAGGAGATGAGAGAAAGTTATACAAAAGCTTGTATTGACAAAGGACAACAGAATTGAAGACAACATCAATCATCAGAAATAGATGAAGAAAGAACATGAGTTAAAATGAATGGATGACAAGTTTCAACCTGTGGATTGAGTAGATGATTGCAATAAGAATCAATTGGCTAAAAATAAAAATCAATTAGAAAAAGTTCAATAATAATAATAATAATAATAGCAAAAAAAAAAAAAAAAAAAAAAATCAAATATTTAAGCATTTTAAGGTTGTGACAAAATTAGGAATTTTTGATAACATTAGAAATCATTATTACTGTTCTGCCCAATTAAAATTTCAAAAAGGCTTTTTTTATGCAAGACAAAGAATTACTAAACATGGTTCTATTTTTTAGAAACTGAAAGCTTTCTAAATTAAAGAATCTATTTATATAAATGAGACATTTTATGACAAAGAATCTTTATAACTAAAAGTTAATTTATATTTAAAAATTAGTTAAAAACTAAACAGCATCTTGAGTAATGTTTTAGTGATTAAGAGATAGAAAATTTCCAAACAGAAAATGGTTCTTTTAAAAGAACAGCAAAACCTGGCAATGGACTAGCAACTCAACCCGAGTTAAAAGTTGTCCTTAGTTTGATATGTAACATTGTATCATTACCAATGGTCTAAGACATTGTCAGATCAAAGTTATTCTGGAAATAAGTCATTTTCTGATATCATTAGGAGTCATTTTTAAGAAATACAGATTTAAAAAAATTTAATTCAGAAAGAAGATTCTGAAATTTTACAAAATCGTTTTGAACATATGGAAATCTTCAAGCATTACCATTAAAATTAATTGAAAAATTGTAGACATATCTTTTATGTTGAATTCAAGGAAATTGCACTTATGTAGAAAAATTGTTTTGCTAATGATTAAAGTATTCAAAATCAAGCATCTTTTATAAAAATAAATAAAAAGAAAACATTTTTCTGTCCAATTGAAAATTTAAACAATCAGCAAATATGTCAAAATATTCCTTATTTCTTTAGAATTTCCAACCTTAGTTCCTTTAATATTTGATTAAAATCATAATTTCATGAAAATTTTTATTTTATACTCTTACAAATGAAATAATTTTTTGTTTTCATATTTTAGACATACAAAATATCATTGAAAAAGCAAAATATACATGTTTCATTGACAATAACATCAAATAACAGTCTGAAGAGGGGCTGGGAAGGGACAGAGAATTGAAAAACAATAATATTCATGTAAAAAAAAGAAAAAAAAAGAAAAGAAAAAAACAATTAGATCTGGTAATAAAATGGTAGAAATGAAGATATGTTTTAATGATACTGATAAGGCACAAAGTCAAACAGTTAAAGCATTTTCTTTTAAGTGTGAAGGATGATTTCTATGTAAAGTGATGTTGACAGTAATACAAAAAGAGGAGTGCATATATTGCTGGGTTTGATAAAGATGGATCTGATGATCACTGACAACAATCAGAGAGGGTGATGGAGAAAGACCTACCTTTTCAGTAGTAACCTTTTCGAAATTTCAAAATAGGTTCACAAACAATAAAAATAAAATTCAAATATTCATGTCTGTTGAGCTTTCTTCAGATTTAAGTTTTTATAGTCATAAAATCATTTGAATGGAGGAAATTATTTCTATAATACAAATTACTTACAAAACTCCTTACTACTTAAATTATTCTATTTCTAAAACGGTTTTAGCCATACTGTTAAAAAAAAAAAAAAAAAAAAAAAATGATGGAAGCATTTGACTTTGCAATTGTACTGGTTATATTTTTTTCAAAAGTGATGAAACATTTTTAGTTGTAAAATTATCATAGTAATTCGGCTTTTTAAATACTTAAAACTAGAAATATCTAAAAGTTAACATGATCTTGCCTACTTACTAATGAGAAATTCTGTACTAATGGCAGCACATGATTATTGGTGTTTAGTAATTATCTCGTTACTAAAAAGGGGAGATCAGGCTGATAAATATATAAAACCACATTGTTTCATAAAACAAACTCCAATTGTTAAAACAGAAAAAGGAATTTGAAAAATAAATTCTATCTTGGACATTTTGCAATATCTAGTCACCTGAAAAAATTTCTATTTTTATAAATGAAATCTTAGGGAAACATAAATCATCAAGTTGATGATACTGGGTGACTTTTAAAAAAAAAAAAAAAAAAAAAAAAAGTCAACTATGACACTTCCTTGGCTCCTAGCCATCCAAATTCTTTATATTTTCAACTTATTGCTAAATAAATGGGCATTTATTATCTGATTTTTGGTATCCTTTCTGTTCAGCTGATTACTCTAAGTTGTTTAATGGATAACTTGTGATATTCCTCTCAAAACTGAGCAATTTTCTAGCAAATCATATGGGAACAGAACACAAATAGCAGAAAACTGATTGCATCACATTTAGCATTGGAGGAAACAATTTAATATTGCCTTTGGAAACTACAGAGAAGATTTCTTATGCATCAAAAGCTTGCATCGTATGCAGACAATCTTTCCCACTGTTAAGGTTTTTATATATGTGCTTTATGTAAGAGGCAAAAGTTAAAAAGAAAAAAAAAACAAACCCCCAATCTGGTGAGCGACATTAGCATATCACCTGATGTTTGATGAGGATAAGTGTAATATTGTTCTTAATGATCAAAACAGAAGAAATATTTTGTCACTCAAACTTTTGGCCCATGCAGACGTGTACCTGTTTTTCTACATGCATTCTTCTTGGATTCTAAAGGAGGCAAAGCTTTTGTTTTTAAATATCAAGAGAAAAAAAATTTTGAATCAATATTATTTTTAAAATATTATATTGGTCATTTCAGAAATAAAAAAAAAATCTTAGTCACTTAGAACAAGAAGGGCAGATCAGAGTAACTAAACTTGTTATTTTATAGCTTCATTAATCAAGTTAAATTATATTTCTAGAGGGACTTGGTGAAAAATCCTCAGAATGAAATGACTTCTTTGCCTCAATATTTGTAATACAAATAATTCAGAAGGCAATATGCCATTTCAGGTATAACAAGTTAATGTATGCCAGTGAAATTTGTGAAGACATAAATATTTGAATTTGTTATTAAAGACTGGTTGATTGAAGCATTAAAAACAGGTGAGAACGATGGAGAGAAAGTTTTGTTCCTTAGTGAAGTAGTGCTTAATTAAGTGCTCATGGAATGTGTGTTTGGGTAAAAGACCAGCAGACAAGATATTGTTGTGACATGGGGAAAGCCTAGAAAAATGGTCATAAAAAGGAGAAGGGAAAGAGATCAAGTGAGAGTGAGAGCCGGGTCAGAAAATCATTGACTTACCTTCAAATGTGTCATCTCCCTCTGTCATCAACTCATCATCTGAGCAGATATTGAGGACGTTTACCAACATCTCTGTAACTGTTGAAGGAAAGAAAAAAAAAAAAAAGGCTAAATATTGGCAGAGAATGAGTACAACAAAATGCTCTCTCTCTCTCTCTCTCTCTATATATATATATATATATATATATATATATATATATATATATGTGTGTGTGTGTGGAAGAGAGAGAGAGAGATCAGTTATGGATAGGAATCTGAGAAAATGATAGAAAAAAAAAAAAAAAACAAGTAGGAAACAGATCTTAATCTAACATATTTCACTTTATTAAAGCTTTGTCAGAGATCAAGACAGAAATGATAAAACACAAAGAGACACAGATTAATGGTATGCTGTATTTGGTTAATTCTTATTGCTTAGTAATGATGTAACAAACTGTTTCCTGAGCTGATTCAACTCTGACCATTAACATTATATATATATGTTATTAAAATATTTTTATTATAATAGATTGCAATAAAAACATTTTACATTACTGCGCAAAAACTTTCATGTTGCATATCTATAATCATTCCTCTTTGGTTGATGTCAGATAACATAATAAAAATGATTTATTTGGGAAATTTGAAAACTAATCATTACCACTTTTGAAAGTTAAGTGTGTGTGGGGGGGAACCTAATGTCAGAATTAACAAATGTACTTGTGGGCATGTCTGGATTAACCAATTAAAAGTTAGTTAAAATAGAAAAAATAAGAACAGAGGGAGGTGGGTTATTAAATCATGTCTTGATAAACTGACACTCATGACAAGTCAGCGGCAAAGATATTGTAGACAGATATAAAGTTCAGATTTGGTGAAGTGGACAAAAAATTTTTGAACAAAAAAAATTATTTCTTTTTTTTTTTTTTATACTATGGAAACTGCTTAAAGGGACTGAATAAAGGGACTGAATAGGTAAAGTTAAAAGAAATTTTTTAATGGAACTTTAATATAATGGATTAATACTGAATGAATTATATTTCTAATTCTATTGAATGGGCAGTAAAATGAGGTTTGCATGCAAATATTGTTGTGGTTGTTGTAAGAGACATTTTTTTAAAAAATTTCCACTTTACAATCAGATCCCTGTTGTTTTTTCTTTAAATTCCACACATACAACTTAATTTGCAACCTCTGCCAACATGAAAAATTAGCAATTATAACATTTCTGGATCCAAAGAACCTTTTAAACCAGAAATCCAAAGTTTTAACTCCATGCTTACATATTAGAAAATGTAACAAACTTAAGAACATATGAGGCTGGATAATTAAAAAAAGTAAAGTACATTTCAGTTACCCCCCCCCCACAAAACATCCCAATGATATATTTATAATACCCTTGCTTTTCTTCTCATCCCTTTCTATTACACCAAATGTTGTGCATTTGTTTATTTATTTTGAAAAAAAAAAAACAATATAACTTTCATTAGTTTTTTTTTTTTTTTTCCCCCATTATAAAAAAGCGTTAAGAGGTCATTTGATAAAAATTGCCTGAGGATACCATAAAGTTGAAACCAAGGTAGCTCCCACTGGAGCACATTTATATTCAATGTTCTACTTTTCTCTAGTGACTTTTTGTACTCTTTCACACACGTGTATCACGTAGCCCTACACAAACTTCATGCACACCAACACACATTCTCTAGTTTAAGTTTAAATTTTTTCTATATAACTAGTCTTTAAATTACTTACATTATTCGAACTGTTATCCTTATCTTCATTGCCATATACACAATATTTTGGTCATTGTATGCACTGGCTTTCCTCAGGTGATTAGAATTTCTAACTGAATCCTTTATCTCTTCCAGCAGATGTCTTAGTTATTTCCCTTTAACTTAACAATCCAAGGTTTTGGTTCACCACTCTTTGGGTCTAATCACTGGTCTAACCAACGCCTTTATCCACATGTGTCCTCAGTTCAAAATTCTAATTACTTGAATGAGGTTGGAGTGTACAATGCCCAAAAGATTGTGAATATGGCAATGAAGATGAGGATAACAGTTCAAATAATGTAAATAATGTAAGTAATCATAATACCTTATCTCAGAGATATAGACAGATAGTCTTTAAATGTGTTCTTTTATTGTCATTGTATACTTTTGTTAAGACATGCATTGTTGTTTGTTTTATATGCTGTTTCTGTTACTCATTTATCATGTGGACTCATGTTCAAGTTTGCAATAATTGTTATGGGGGGGGAATATACCAGGAGACATGTTTTCTATCTAAACACAAGCATTTCCACAGTAGGTTGTATTCTTGTTCTAAAGGCATACAGTTTGCTTTGTTTAATTTTTCCTCAGCAGCAACTCATAACCACATTTTGGGGGGGGGATTGCTGTTTGCTGGGAGTTACAAGTAACTACAGAACAAACTGAAGATCTTTTTCATTATATACAAGTCATCTGAGAATAAAGAAACATAGCAAGTAAGAAAAATTCCAATGTGTGACTCACCTTTCTCTCCAACAAAAGGTAAGGACCATGTAAATACATCCATGAAATTTGGTAACCAGTATGGATGTGGAGAGCAGTTGAACTGTCGGATGTTCATCACATTGTTTTCGTATTTTAGAATAGCCGCTGGAAAAAAAAAAAAAGAAAGAAAATTTATGTAATATTGCAAAACTTAAAATCTTTGTTTAAAAACAAAGATCACCTTTTTTTGTTGTTGTTGTTAACATTAATAAGCATACAATGAGGAACATTTTATTTTTACATTTCTGCTCAGATTACATTCCACTCAAAATTATTATACAAGTGAAAGAATTACAAAACCAAAATCTAAAGACTGATTGCAAATTAAATTTCAAGGGATTGTATTAACTTCTAAAGACCAACTTTCAACCTGCAAGAAAGAGACCTGTTAATCTCCATCAGCTTGTGTATAAACTTAAAATTTACATAGCCCCCTGCTGCCCTAGAATTAGTTTTATCAACTATTTAATTATGTTAATTTATAATTGGGTTTCGTTTTTACAAAATTTACACAAATTGTGTAAATATCTAGAGAAGTTACAAAAGTGGATTTCTTGAGACCTGATTACATCTCGGAAATGATAAACATTTTTTTTTGTTAGCCACTCGTAATATGAAAGAAGCCATGCTGACTTTATAGATAGTACTCAACATGTACAGATTGGGAGCCCAAGTTCAGTGTTGGAGATTGATCTTTTCTAATATATAATTGAAGATTCAAAATTTTATTTACTTTCTTTTTTAGATGAGGTTAAAAAAATGTTCAGCTATTTCCACCTGCAGTAAACTGATTTCTTATAATGTTAAAAAGATTTCAGCTGGAATTTTCTCCCCATGTCGCGAACATCAAGAAATCACCTCCTTGACTAACCAATCATGGAGAGAGTTGAACCAAAGTTTCATGGCCAGATCACGAATGCTTACCAGTTGATCAGATTGTTGAAATGAATTACAAAACTGATCCTTTGAAAAAAATTTTTCCCCCTAAAACCAAATGTTTCTTTAATATGAATAAAAAAAATCATTTTTTTTGTTCATACTTCTGTTACATTACTGGGACAAAGTTAAGGGATTGAAGGAAAAATGATTTGCTCTGTTGGAGTACAAGAAAACACTAGTTTATTTAAAGTACAGTAGCTAAGTTAAACATTTTCAAGTGATTTGAAAGTTGGAATTTTCATTGGTGTCAAATTATGATTAAACAACAAATACAATTTGTAGAATTCACAAATTCTTTCAAAACAGTGGCTTAAGGGAAACATCAAAACCAATTGAATTTATTAATAAGAGAAAAGAAAAATTTCAGAATAGAGACTTATTACCAAACTGTTACTGCTTTGAACTTTTTCTACCCTTAAGTTACCCAATGGTTTGCAAATGGTGCAAAGCTCCTGATGTGTGCAGCAGAAGAGGATAGCAAGTGAGGCGGAATGATTGAAAGACAAAGGTTTAGAAACTATTTCAAAAAATTCATATTCCAAAAATAAATACGATTTCAAAATTTAAAATATTATGGATTACTTGTAATTGCACACACGAGTCCCAGTATAAATAGTTATAATTATTGATCAATTTTATTCTTCTACAGTTCTTCATGACATTGATGTGAACAAGGATCATCAGTTCTGACAAATATCAAAAACCACAAGAAAAGAAAAAAAAAAAAAAAAAGAAAAAAAAAAAGAAAAAGGAAAGCCTTTGTGTTGATTAGGAGATGAGAGTTTGTTCATTTCAAATTAGGCCTAATATAAAAGAGATTACTTGTGAAAAACAAGCTAATACCTTTCATTAAATTTGTGTACTTTAATCAGATTATAAGTTATTTGTGTTGTGTATTATATTTAAGTCACTATTAGTCATTTATTTTAAATGTACTTTTTATCACATAAAATTTGGTGAGGCACAAGCAAATTTTCATTCTGAAAATGTGGCCCAGAGGAAAAAAAAGTTTGGGAATCAGTGTGTTAACCTGTCAAATAGGTGCATTTTTTGACTTTTGTTTAAAAATGGTCATTGTTGCACATCAATAGTTCTATGGAGAAAATAAATATCTACAATAGACTTTAAATAAAAGTCTAATAAAAACAAACTACTGATAAAGAACAGTGCAGTCACTTGTGCAGTTTCTATTTAATCCAAATACAGTCATCATCAGACATGGTTTTTGTTAATAACCATAAACAAAGATAAGGTAAGAATCCTAAAATCAAAGCTGATGTCTATTAGGCAGTTGTTGATATAGTCGAGGAGGAGGAGAAAAAAAAAGAAGAAAAAGAAAAAAAAGCAATTACAAGACAAAGTTGTCCATTATGCTACAATTTAAACTCAACAGACAAGAAATAATTTCCTTTGTCAGATAGAAAAATCTAACTGTAGAATTAAACATGGAGTAAAAACTTTGGAATTTAGGTTATAAATCTTTATGCTCCATACACAGAAACTACAAGTACTTGGTATTATTTTTTTTTTTTTGATTTCTATTTTTTTTAACATTTTAAGTAATTACTAAAATGGCGCTATATATTTTGGAATAATTGTTTATCTTTTTTTTTTTTAAGTTACAAAAAAATAAAAAAATTTGAAATCAATTTATCTACTTGGTTATTATTTGCATCCAAGTAACAAGCAGGTCTTGTGATATTCAAAAATATCAAACAGAATTCATTGAGGGTTATTTGGTATTTCTTGTTAGGCATTTTACATAACACTAAACAAGAGAATGACATTTCAAAGACATCCACCATTAAATAAGAAAAATTGCATCAGTCGAAAACTGAATGAGTTTAGATGAATTAAAACAAGGTTTAAAAAAAAAAAAAAAATTGAAAAAAATTCATGGTCAATATTTTTGTTAATGGCAAAGTTTCACTTGGCAGTGGACCGACTCCTACTGCTGTTGTATTTACTAAAAGCCAGAGGAGAGAATATGGCTTCCAAAGACGACAGGCGAGAGGAAGCCATTCTCAGCCCAGAGATGGACTTTTGATATTTATCTGCATATTCACCGGCTACAGCTTTCAGTGAAGATTGCCACCCACATTTGCAGGGTTGGGTTAAAATGAAACAAAATTAGACATTGGGTATCAGGTTGGACAGGGAAAAATACAGACGAGTTTAAAATTTTGAATGGTTTTAAATAGTAATATATTAAATGATACCAGCTATTTTATCACCGCATTCTGGTTTACGCAAAAACAACAGTGAGGACTGGTCCAGATATGCTAACAATCCGCCATTCTTGGTCTGAACTGACTCTTAAATGTAGAATATGGCAGCAAGAGTTTGGCGTTTTCTGGAGCAATACATGGACCAACTATCTTTCCAGCATTTTTTACAACAAATGAAAATCAACCTTTTCATACAGCATTAAGATGATGATGATAATTGCAGGAAACTCAACCCCCCCAAAAAAAACAAAAAAACAAAAAGTGTGTGTGTGTGGCTTTATAAACTTGCCCTAAGAATAGCTCTTAAAATCAAACAGGACAAATCTCCATATGTCATCCCAAAACAATTTCAACTCTTCCAATATGCTTTGTGATTCTGTATCACATTTTCTGACTGTCATTTTTTGACAGTCAGGGCAGTGTTAGGTTTTTTTTGGGATTTTTTTTCACTCTTAATGATTTTAATAATCAAAATTCTTTGTTCTCTGTGAGCAGTGAATTAACTGTGTGGATGAAAATCCTTCATCACTCATACAGAAAATAATACAATAGAAAATTTACTTAAATATTTCTAAACTAAACTAGTAAATATTTTTCTTTACAATTTGCACATATGCCAAGGGAATTGTAATCTGTTAAAAGTTATTTTGTTATTTCACCCAGACTTTTAAATGTTGATAAAATTTTTAGTTCTGACTTAACCTGTTACTTTAAGAACAGAGGTCAGGTAAAGGTTGTTCTATTTTTTTAATTTTTTTTTTTTTAATTATAATCTTTTTTTCATTTTGGCAATAAATGACAACTTGTTTTTGCGTAAACCAGAATGGGTCAGGGAATAAAATAAGGTTCCCTTTAAATTGAGGGTTTGTTATGATAGAAGTCAAGGATTATCAGAGTGACTATTGAGTTAGATGTGGTGGGTGAGAACCATTCAACTGAATCCTGCCATTTGTGAATGCCTGGTGCCTCTTGTAATTTAGAAATTTGCTCATGGCATTGTAACTGACAGAAAGATGTGCAGCAAATGTTCAGTCAAATGCATGTCCATTTCAAGTCTTTAGTCTCTCAAGGAAATTGACAGTTATCATTCATTTTAAAACAGGAAGTAATCCCATTGAATGATCGGCAACATTAATCTCTAGCAGGTTTTCCACATTTGCATCAATTTAGATCAGGATCAGGATTTCAGGTTTGGTTTAAAAACCAATAAAATAGCACATTTATGAGATCGATTTTCTTGAACAGGGAAGCTGGTGGGGTGATCTGTCGTCTGTCAAAATTGCATGTTTGGAATAAAAATTGGTTTCCATTTCTATCATAAAATAATCAACTGGCAACAACTTTTTGTTCTTTTTTCTTCTTTCTGTTGCTTGTTTATTGAATGAGCAGCTTCCTTCCCAACAAAATGATGTCATCCTTTGGAAATAATTTCAGGCAAAGAATATGAGGTGGCTTCAAGGAAAATAGGAAGGAGGAAAATTATACTAACAATCAGAACGAGATAAGTGAAATTTCTGGGACACATGAGGAAAAAGCTTGAAGAATCTAATACTCACAGGACATAATGAAGGCAAGCAAAGCAGAGGGGTTTAGTTGATTTGATTTTATGGCTCATGTGACAGAGTCTGGGAAACACACACAAACATGTATATTTTTTTTTTTTAGTGAAATTGGAGTGGATTTGAACAGCGAAATTAGATCAGAGCATTTTTGTTTACTGATGGTGAAACCTGATCTAGGGCAGAAGTTGTACCCATTGGAACTGAGTCATTAGAAGACAATGGAAATAGTCAAAATAATTTTTATTGATTAAAATTTGAAATAGAGCTGAGTAAGCAAGGAGGATCTTTAGAATTCACATGATTTTGGTTGAAACAGCCAAAACCCCATGATAATAACGTGCAAAGTAGTAGGGCTAAGGTTCAGTTGTAACCAGCC